AGTTTCTGAGAGACATTTTCTTCTAGTGAAAACTCTTTAGACTTGACCCAGACCAAATCACCTTCTCTGAACGTTGATGGTCGTCGGTGCTTATTAGCTTGTTCGATCATTCGGTCCTGAGCTTTCTTTAAGTTCTCCTTTACCTTTTTAATGTCTTATTGAAACAATACTGCGTATTCGCGGGTCCCTGGAGGTAACCTAAGAAACTGGTCCCTCGTCAATACATCAATKGGACGCTKAGGTTTCCACCCTTTATGCAGTGCGTTAGGTGTTCGTCCTGTAGAGGTATGAATACTACTATTATATGCATTTGCTATYTTAGGTAAGTTCTCATCCCAATCTATTTGATCGGGTCTTACATACATGCGCAGAAGTTGTTGGCACAAATGGTTCATTTGTTCACTCTGCCCATTCGTTTCAGGGTGTCTACCTGACGACATGGTCAGACGTGTACCGTATGCCTCCATCAGCTTTTGCCATGGCATACTTGTGAACCGGGTATCTCTATCAGATACAATGGATAAAGGGAAACCATATTCAGTCACCCATCGCATCTGAAATTTTTGGATCACAAGTTCCGTTCTGGCTTTTTCGGGTAAGGGAATGAACATAGCATATTTAGAGAAACGATCCACAATTACTATTACCTGGCTATTGTCATTCCGACTTTTGGTCAGGCTCATAAAACCCATAGAGATTGACTCATCTGGCTCGCTTGGAATTGGTAACGGTCTGAGAAGACCAAGTGGATTCTCATGTGAGGGTTTGTTTCTCTGACACACAAGACAGGTACGAACATAAGTTAGTACATCCTCTTTCAATCCCTTCCATTCAAAGCGTTCTCAACTTCAGCGTAGGTTTTCTTGAAACCAAAATGACCTTCGGTGTCGTGGCATTCCCCAATAATCAGACTTTTGATTTCGTCTTGGTGAGGAATACACAATCGTTGTTCAGTTTGGTCTAGCAAGAAAAGCAAACCATCAGTTACCTTATAGTTGGGAAGCAGACTCGGGTCTTTCGCAAGGACAAGGTTTCCATATTGGGTCATTAACATATCCTTGGCGAATTCTATCTTTCAGATCATTCCCAACGTCTCGGTAAGAAACAATGGCACCAAAGAAATCACATTTTCTAGACAATGCATCTGCAACCACGTTAGACTTACCTTTGATAGTGTTCAACTCAAAATCAAAAGTGTCAATAAATGCAGACCATTGTACTAGCTTATCAGAGAGCCTAGGCTGTGTCTTTATCCACTTTAGGGTAGAGTGGTCTGAATACACAGTGAAGTGCCTCCCTAATAGATAGTGTTTCCAGGTGTCTAAGGCACAGACTAACGCATACAATTCTCTTTCGTAGGTAGAATTGACAACCTTTTCAGATGGCAATCGTGCAGACATAAACTCAATCGGTCTGTAATCATTGCCGTCGTTTTGTTGAAGCACTGCGCTAATCCCATACTGACTTGCATCAGTGGTGACAACAAAGGGAAGAGATGGGTCAACAATTTTCAGAACAGGGTAGTGAGTCGGAGCGTACTTTACCTTTTTGAATRAGGACTCACWATCCTTGTCCCACAACCATATTGTTCCTTTCTTTMGCAATCTTCTCATTGGTGCAGCGAGCAATGAGAAGTTCCTGACAAACTTCCTATAATAGCTTGCCAARCCAAGAAATGATCGTAACTCAGTTACAGACTTAGGTTGCGGCCAGTCTCTAATTGTCGATATTTTCTTTTCTTCAGGCCCRAGGCCATCTTGGTTCACTATATGTCCTAAGTATAAAACTTCAGACTTAGCGAACTCAGACTTCTTCGGGCTGATTTTGAAGTTGCCTTCTCGCAACTTACTCAAACCAGACGAAGATGCTTCTCGTGTTCTTCTAATGTTTTGCTATATACGAGAATGTCATCYAGATAGACGATGACGAATTGGTYCAACCATTGACGAAATAACTCGTTCATTGACCGTTGGAATGTAGCAGGARCACTAGTMAATCCGAAGGGCATTACCATAAACTTGTAATGGCCATACCTGGTCCGGAAAGCAGTCTTGTGTTAATCCGYGGGCTCCACCTCGATCTGATGGTACCCAGACTWCAGATCAATTTTACTGAAGTACTTGCATCCCTGTAGTTGGTCAAGTWAATCGTCGATGCGAGGGAGTGGTTCGGCATTCTTGACAGTGACGACATTCAACCCTCGATAGTCAATACATAGACGCAATTCACCTTCCTTTTTGGGCACAAACAAGACAGGTGCTCCATAAGGAGATGAACTAGGGCGAATCCATCCCTTGTCAGTAAGGTCCTGCAATTGCTTCTTTAACTCCTCAAGTTCCAAGGAAGACATTCGATAGATAGGGCC